CACCAGTGTGTGAATGTGTGGATGACTGGATGTGTAAAGCGCTTTGGGGTCCTTAGGGACTAGTAAAGCGCTATATAAATACAGGCCATTTACCATATATTTGGAGTTGTTATTTTCTGTGTTTCCATGCTCTTTTCTTTAACCTCCTGACATCCACATATGTGGACATCACATTTTGGGATGTCTAGACCAAAATACTAAATTTTGCTCTACAAGGGCCTGATGTCCACTAACGAGGACGTTTTACTGACACTGTTCTATTGAAATTTAAAACCGATGTCCTCATATGTGGCTCTCATTTTTCTCAGAAACAAAAATCAGATAAAATAACAAAAAAAATTCTTTGTTTTTACATTCATCAGGTCCCAATCAGCCCAAATAGCAAAGAGAAATTAAAAATGCATGCTGTGGAAGAGTTCGGGTCTTATGAGGTTAAGGGTATTTTAGATGGGTTTGGAGTCTAAAGTTTGCATTTTACTGTTTTTAGTAGCAAGCATGTGTTTTTCCCCCAGTTTTGCTATTTTTGCACAGTGGTTTGTACGTCTCGGTTACGTCTATTACGTCTATAGTCTCCAGGCCTCCAGTTCTTATGGGCACCTTGGATTTTGTGAAGTCTTGAAGCCACACTGTGCGGCCTTCAGTCTTTATATCTTTTTTCATTTCCTCTTGGTTAATGTTGCATCTGAACTGCAGGAGATGTAGAGATACCTGCTTATCTTCTGTCTGACGCTTTCTTCGAGTCACAGTCAGACTCATCTGCACGCATGCTGTACTAAATGCTGACCTGATAAGCCTGTTGGGTAATACGGCTCTTACCTCTGCGTAAACGAAGAGAGGGAGAACCAGCACCGCCAGCAGCAGGTCTGCAAATGCCAGACTCACTATAAAGTAGTTTGTAGTGGTTTTTAAAGCTTTCTCCAAGTAAACGCTTATACACACGAGCACATTTCCACAGGTGACGACGATGATCAAGAAAATCCCGAAAATGAGAGCTGGGAAGTTTAAATGTGTGACGGCGGCCGCCGGCAGGGTGTCGTTGTTAAAATCCGTGAAGTTGTCCGACATGGTCGCCGGTGTTGCGCCGTGCGCCGCAGACTGACGGGCTCCTTGTCCTACGAAGAGTTTCCTCCAGGGTAGTTTTCATCTATAAGCCGTTAAGGAAAGCAGAAGGTTTCCAGATGAAGTCGGGCTAAGTTGTTCTCCGTGGACGCGCATCCAGTGTGCGCACTGAAACCGATGCGCAAAGCCACACCGCTCGATGTAACCACGTTACCAGCCCTTCGGAACCATTTCTTCAAATTTGACCGGCTGTCAAATGTGGATTCTCTGATAATTGCTCGCTACTGAAGGGGTAGCTGTGCAAAGTGGACGAATCAGAAGGCAACGGCTTAACCGGATAAATCTGCTTATGTGTTAACAGCCTCAGCAGGTTGGCAAATCAGGTTCGACCGAGACAGCAAACAGTGTGGAAATCAGCTGTTCCTCACATATGTAGACTTCTTACACTAAACTGCAGCTCTGAATATCAGTACATGGGAAAGACTTTACATGAAGTCATTCGTTAATTGTTTATATAATCGGAACGATTATTTTCTGCTACACTGAGTAACAATGAGACATATTTTAAACACATATTTGAACTCGATCTTTTTTCTAAAAGTATTCAAGTAGTTTTGAAGCTAGCCAATCAGGAAGAGGAGGAAAACGTCAGCAACAAGTGAGACCAAAGTGGTGAAACACAAACTGCGCTCATATAAGCTCCGCTCTACACTTGCTGTAATAAGCTGCAGTTATAACCCAAACATGCTACACAGGTGTATGCTCTGTAACCCCCTGTCCCAACTTTGCTCAAATCTGGATCAAATTTCAAAATATTATTAACAATAATAATCTCAGTTTTAACATTTATTTATGGTAAATGAAGTACAACATATATAAGATAGAGCCACTAGTGTGCTACATGTGGTTGCAACATGAGAAACAAATGGGTAATGTGAAGATAGTTGCATCTATCTTTTACACTGTTTATGGTTTTTATCTCAGCTGCTTCTTTTAGTTTCACATCAACAACAGTCTCCTATTTTTTCATAATTTTCTTCTTCATCTCAAAAAAAAGCCTCTATATTGGCACTATATTTAAAGTCATATAATTGGGTTTAACCGGGTATCACATGGCGGTCATCACATGATGAGCATTTCAAGTACTTAATGGGCATTTTGGCAGTGTTGGATTTTACTTGTTTCGTGTGTTGATGATCAAATATGTGGCTTAGAAATGAGCAAATGAAAATAAAGGCTTCAGAAAACTAATTTTAGCAGTGGCGGCTCTGCTGAGTTCTGTAAATGTTAGCGTTGTTAGTGGATAATATGGCGCTTGAACCATGAAGGCTGCCATTACTGATATCTGCACATATCTAATGCCATTGCTGGGCATTCTTTCTGCTATTTTTCATGCTTGAATACACATTTCAGGAATATGGTGACTGACATATATCTGAATGACTGATTGGATATGCCCCGATGAGCAGTTATCATGATACTGGAACTGATGCCGAAGTCATTCTGCTAGAGTCTGAGAAGCAGAATGAGCTTCAGAGTCATGTGTAATGAAGTGCTGCCTGCATCACCGCCTTCAAAGACTATCTGCTCTCAGGAATTTTCTGTTTCTCAGATTGAAACTGAAAGTCCTGGAAACGCATCAGTAGAGGAATACTCTATTCCATACTTTAATTAAAGTCTCATAATTAAAAGTTTTCCACTGCTGCTCTTCAAGGGTAGCGCTCCCATCTTTGAAGTTAGAGTGAGGAAGTAGAACTGAATTATGCCAAAATGGGAAATCCTGTGATCGCTGTTGGTAAAATCACACACTGACTCACTGAGATAACACCTGGTGTGTCTTCTATTCACTGATGTGGACACTGCAGATGACCAGGTCAGTAACAGCATTTCACTTAAAGTTTCCTGGACATTTCTTTGGATACTTTGATAGGTGGTATTATCTTGCTGGGGTTACATGATATTCATGAATGATGAACCAGGCCCTGTAAATTACTCTGTAGTGTATTCACTACTGCAGTGATGAACAGTTCCAGCCAGCAGCAGAAGGCCTTTGCTACATGTGGCTGCTTAAGGCAGTGTTTCCAAACCACTGTGGTGTGGCACAAAGGTGTGCCATGGAAGACTATCTGCTTCCACCTGATTAGTAACGGGCAGCACAATTATATTCTCTTCCACTAGAGGGCAGCACAACTACCTGCTGTAATTCAATGGGTTGCCAACTGCCAGGAAAACAGAAGAAGACGAAGAAGAAATTACTTATGCTATGTCTCAGTCAATGACTTGGTCCCAATTCAGGTCCTGCATCATCCTGTGACGATGGAGGCCACATTTCAGGGCAGATTACGTCACAGCGACGCAACGAAGGCTGTCCCAATTCGACAGCTGTGTCGCTACCAAAGACTGTAGCTGTGTCCCAAAACATCGGCTGCATCCTGCGGAGGCCGCATTTGTAGGCCGATTATGTCACAGCCAGGCGACGAAGGCTGTCGACAGCTGTGTCGCTACCAAAGACTGTTTTCTACAGTTATTGGTCACTACCCGATCTGTACTGGAAACCCAATCGGTACCACGCGTGTGCAAATCTTACGTCACTTCTTCTCTTTACCAACATTGCGACAGTTAATATATTTGAAGAGACACAGTTAGCGCCCAGTTAGCACCTCTCGACACCTCTTTTTCGACTGCCTGGGACATTTAAACAATGGATACCTCCGTATACAAACAAAATCACGCTTTTCTCCTCAACGGAGAACAATTCAATTCCCCCGATTGAACAACAGCGACGTAAAATAAGAAGAATGGCGCCTAATTACAGAGTTAATAATACTGACTTAGTAATGTGTCACGTGAAGATTCATCAGCCAGATTAAGTGTTTACTGACAATTGACAGTGATAGTGGACATCATCATCACTATTCCAACAATCCTCTCCGCACAGACAAGCATAAACACACTCGACTATCACTAAATCAAATTTACACATAGAGAAACACGATTTGTAATGATGATAGTTCATTCGGTCGCTCAGAAGAAGAAGCTGTGAGCCAGGAGGGAGGGGGTGAGTGAGTCCTGAGTGATTCGTTCATGATTCATGAGTCAGTAAAGTGATTCTCGAGTATTGAACGATTCGTTCATGATTCGCGCAGCACTAGCGTCCTCCTTTTCCCCAGATTTGAAGGATGGGTGGGGTGCGTCCTTTGTGGCCCACCATATCCCAGAATTCATAGTCCAGCCAATTTCGGTTTCCAACAATGGCGGCAGCTACTTAGTTTTAATATTACTCTTACTACTCTTTCTGGGTCACAAAATAAACTTTTAAGATATTTTCAGGCGAGAATGTAGCTGTGTAAACTTCAAATATCTGCTCGGTTTATCAAGACATCACATATTTGCAAAAGTGCTCCGATGTTTTCGGAGACGTCTGCTACCCACCAGCTCGACACAAATTTATCTGACACAAATGTATGCATTTCCCTGTTATTTGTGACTATTGCTAAAACCATTGCAAACACGTTCTACAGGAATGTGGTCCATCTTTGGCAAAGATAGTAATAATCAATATAATTACAGTGGGGCAAAAAAGTATTTAGTCAGCCACCGACTGTGCAAGTTCCCCCACTTAAAATGATGACAGAGGTCAGTGATTTGCACCAGAGGTACACTTCAACTGTGAGAGACAGAATGTGAAAAAAAAATCCATGAATCCACATGGTAGGATTTGTAAAGAATTTATTCGTAAATTAGGGTGGAAAATAATTATTTGGTCAATAACAAAAATACAACTCAATACTTTGTAACATAACCTTTGTTGGCAATAACAGAGGTCAAACGTTTACTATAGGTCTTTACCAGGTTTGCACACACAGTAGCTGGTATTTTGGCCCATTCCTCCATGCAGATCTTCTCGAGAGCAGTGATGTTTTGGAGTATGCATTGGAGTATGAATGTGTGTGAATGCTACTTAGAAAGCACTTAGAACAATGTGCTGGTGTGAATGGGTGAATGCACAAGTTGTGTAAAGAGTAGCGCTATATAAGAACCAGTCCATATACCATTTACAACACTGTCATCCCTTATGTAGCAGGTTTGTCAGAGACTCAGGAGAGTTTTCTCCAAACATGACAGTGCACTTCTAACCCAGACAGATCCTCAGACAAAAACTGGTTCATTCCAAGGACAAAACTACAAAACACAAGTTTAACAGCATAGTGTATGCTGGCAGTGCAGTGAGGAGTGCTCAGACCTCTACACCAAACATTTGGCCAGTGGACAGAAAGACTTTGAAAGCACGGAGGACCTGAAAATGTAGCCAAATTGAATGTTTTAAGATTCTTCATTATTTTAACATTTGTTAAAATGTTTTTACATTTGTATTAGGGGTGGGCGATAGAAACGATATACGATAGAAACGATATAAATTTGGCCAACGATAGAGATTTTGACTATATCCGATAGCGCATGTTGATGATGTCATCAAGCTGCGCCTGTTTTGGTCAAAGCATAGCGGCGGCTAAAACCATTATCATCTGCAAATTATGGTGGGCGACAGTCATAGCAAAGAGATGAAGCACTTTTGACTTCCGTAACATTGATTCATTAATGTTGAATTCTCTCGCAGCTGCTCTATTCCCATGTTGTTGCAGTATATTAATAACTAACCTCGTATTGTGGATGAATAATCTCAGTTGTTCTCCTGACTGAAGTTTGGCCCGTGTATAGCATCCTGCTATGTGATTGCATTTGTCCCTGACCACCAGAATCCCTCACGTTAACTTTTAATGAGTGGAAAAAAAAGTTGGCGTTCATCTTCCAGCTTCACTGTGCTAATGTTATGCTAACATAGCTGTGTCGCTAGCAATCATGTAGCACATCATTATATACCAGGTAATCCAACTTCAGTAACCCTGCAAACGCCACTGCTGTTTAGTATTTTTTGTGTGGAAAATACGTTATACAGAAGAAAAGAATATATATCGTGATATATATCGTTACCGCACATGCTTCAAATTATATCGTGATATGGATTTTAGGCCATATCGCCCAGCCCTAATTTGTATAAATGTCCAGGATGCAGCCCCTGAATTTGGTCATAGCCTGGCGATGGTTACTTTGTGATGTTACCAGAGAAAATCACAGAAAATGTTAACATTAGTGAATAGTGAATTTCATTTACGGTATACCAACCTAAACTAACACCAAGGCACCGGCAACCATGGTGACTTCTTTTAAAAAATTTAGCCTGCACCTGTCACACAGAAGTCAGTCTACAGGCTGTAAGCAGTAACTGAGAGAGTTGGAGATGGAACAGTTTTAGACATGGCACCGAGCACTCCGATTACCACTGGGACCACTGTTACCTCCACCCTCCACATCTTCTCCAGCTCTTCTCTGAGCCCTTTGTATTTCTCCAGCTTCTCGTGTTCCTTCTTCCTGATGTTGCTGTCATTCGGTATCGCGACATCGATCACGTCTTCTTCTGTTTGTCTACCACCACTATTTCCAGCACTAGCCATCACCATTTTGTCCGTCTGTATCTGGAAGTCCCACAGGATCTTAGCTCGGTCATTCTCCACCACCCTTGGGGGCGTCTCCT